TTCCTGATTTTTTTTGTGCGTAAGCACTACGCATTTCTGCTTCTGGCTAAAATCAAACAGATAGGAAGAAGGAAAAGTCACAGCAAACAAACAAAACTAAATAAACTAGCAAGTAAAGCATAAAACCATCCAAAGTACACAGTACGTGGTTGGTACAGTGCATTTTGTCCTTAATGTATGTTTGGACACCTCTTCAAGGGAGAGCACAGAGGGTAGCGAGGCTGAGGAGAGGATCTCTTTGGAAGTATGAAACGCTATATTTGGATCTAGAACTATAAGCAAAACAGTGATGGCCCTCAAGAAGGTATATGACAGTAGTGAACAGAAAAAAGGAATGGAAGGGAAAAATTGTATTAATTTTGTCCTACATTTCTAAACCACAAAGCTAGGGAGACAGCGGAATGTTTGTACTGATAGCTGCACGTAGGCCACGTTAAAGCCAAAAAGCCAAAAATTAGAAAAATACAAAAAGGAAAAGTACTGGGGCGACTGATCTAATTCATAGCTTCCTCTTTCGATGTTCCTATACATGTTTCTTTTTGAAGAGGAGGAAAGCCTACAAAACTGTAAGGAGGACCTGTAATCCAACAGGGGGTCCCAGCAGGTTGTACACCAGCCCACAGACTGCTCAGGCTTTAGAGCTGGCTGGACTTTGGGTACACGATTATCCTGGAGGAAACACGTATTTATAATTTAGCTTCAGGATTAAAGTAACCAGTTGGGGAGAGGAAAAATAAGACAGCAGCTGACAATAAAAGGCATCAGGACTCTGCTACGCAGCATGAGTATTGGTTTGGCTATGTAAATACAGGCAACAAACATTGAAAACATTGACTTGAAGAATGGTGAGGAATCCCGGTGGTGCAGGTAAGGGCTTGAATCTTTTTTATGGCAATCAGCTATCTGCCTACCCTCCCTCTCAGTTTTGTCTTCTTTAACTTATACTTACCTATTTCATAGAATCCATTTGTATTTGCACATTGTTTTAAAGTTATTAGATGGAAAGGAACTAGGAAGGAGGTTATTGTGTGAGTGTGGGTTGTTTTTTGGTGTGGTTTTTTGTCTTCTTTTTTAAATGAAAGTGAAATGGGGCTGGAGTGTGGGAAACTCCTTCCCTCAGCAGTCACTTAACAGATTGGCCATTTTTCATCTACTTTGAGTGGGGGAAAAGACTGTCAAGGAATTTTAAAAGAAAACACTGCAAAAAGTTATTAATTGAAGAAAGATCTTTGGCCTTCATTATTCCACTCGATGAAAGCAAAATTTATGCATCGTTATTTGGGATATTGTTTCCTAAAAAGGCTATAACAAGTAACACTAGACAGACAGAAGATAAAGCAGGAAAATACTAAGGTATGGCAAAAACCAAACCCTGGATACTGCAACTCTGTCAATAGTCAACTTTTCCAACACATGCATTTTTAATTTGCATTTCATTAAGGAGCGTAAGATTTACTATCATGATTTAACCATTAGTCAACTAAACCAAGAGGGATCCTAAATATTTCTTACAGAACAACGTACATACATGCTCTTGGATCTTCTTCCTCCCCGTATTCAGACTATTCTTTGTATACAACATACATTTATTTCATTCATGCAGCGTTTACTGTAATAGCATTGCAGTCTTACCAGTATTATGGCATCCCAGACCACAAAAGTGATGAGGGATTCCGACTACCTACTTTGCAGTCCTACCAGAGCCTGCCTGCCTGCCTCTACAGTCGAGAAAAGACGGAATCTGCAATAGCTGAGCTGGGCATCTATAACCAACAGCCTGACTGTAACTCAAAACATCACAGATTATCAGTACAGAAACATCTAGTCTGATCTCCAGTGTAACACAGACCACTCTTGAATTAACTTGTGTTTTAACTACAGCATCTGCTGAGAAATCCAGTTTGTATCTAGAACTAACAAGTCTTGTATAATTAAACTGATAAATATGTATGGTCTGGATTTGTTCAGCCACAAAGGCCAGCCAATGAATCTTTTAAAGAAATTTCTATTCTCCATATAAGTGTTTGTGGGGAAAAAAAAAAGGGCAAAAGAAAAGCTTGCTCTGTCTGCTACTCTTTGTTAAGCCAAGTAAGATTTTTCTTGAGATCTTCAAGACCTGTTCTCAATCCCCCAACGTTTTTTTATGTTTCACTTCTAATCCTCTTTCTCATCTCTCAATTTGCTCCTTGAATTCTGAACAACACAACTATGTCTAATATTTGGGCACAACACAAAGAGATATTACCTACATTTTCGGTCCCACTAGCTACACCTGGCCTATGGATACCACCGCCCTTTTAGGCAAAGTACCACATTGAGGGCTCACTGTCCCCCAGGCTATTTCAGAGAAAAACTGCTTCCCTGGGAAGTACCCTCCGTCATCCACTCTTTGCTCATATAAACATAGATAAAATCCATACACTTGGCAACTCTGAGGCCCACACAGTTTGCTAACACAATGTTTAGCACAGTCAGCACCTGCGAGGGAGGCAGGTAGCTCAACGCACAATTCTGAGCACAGGAATAAGTATTCCTGACTCCCCCACTGACCCGCTTTCTCTCTGAAATGTTAGCATTCACTATTCTTAGCATATTCAACACAATATTAAAGTCACCTCCACCTACTTTTTTTTTTTTTTATAGATACTGCCATCGTAGCTTCAGGTATTGCTTCAGTATAAGAAAGTTTATTTAAAGAGAATATAGACAGAGATGCCCTGGATGTCACAGGAGACGTCAGTCAAACCCTTTGGTCAATAGATCCCTCTCTTTTCAGGTCAGGCACACAAATCCTTTCAAAGTGCTTCTTCGTGACTCGCCTATGTGCTTCCACGGCATTTCCTTAGCTGCTGTTCATTCAATCAAGCAACTTCAGATGATGTCCAGTTTCTTGTGTTTGGATTCGACTCTCAGAGGACCCTCAAAACCATGGCTCAGATTTGCTTGGCTCGTACGTAACTTTGTTTGGCTGATGGCTTCAGTTCTCCCAGCCATTTTATGCTGTTCCCTGCCTTTGCTCTGAGAGGGCCAGGTGTACCTCTGAGGGATATTTCAGCCCTGCCAGCTGCACTGCAGTGAGTCCTTCTAGGTGACTGATCAGGTTTGATGAAATATCCCCCTCCAAAATGGAGATAAAGCAGGTTAAGGCAATTCTTTTATCATAGTTGGCTAAACTTTTCCTATTTTTAACCAACGTGAACTATTGTAACGCTTCACCTTTCTAATTTAAGCAACACCCTTATTTTTGGAATCTTGTTCACTTATCATTCAGATTATATTTTCCAGAAGTATTTCCTGCTCTTCTTAAAAAATTCAGCTTGTTTCAACTATAGCCAGAACTATTGCCTGCATGGTGATAGCAAATGCTTATTGTGTGGTATATACAATTGTGTGTATCCTACATTGCAAGACTGGGGTCTAGTATTTGACAAACTCCTGCTAATAAGCACAAGCACAGCACAGACAACATTCAGGTAAAAAAAAAAAAAAAAAAAAAAGCTGGAAGTTGATTAAAAATATTGCAAAAATGATTCTGCAGTATCACATCATATGAATTCTCTGGCCCCTATCCAGACTGCCATTTGAGAAGAAATCCCAATCTAGTTCTTTCCTGCCCTTTTTGTCTGCAAAACCCAAGATAATCTGCAATATGCCTGTGAAAAGGAAAGTGCATTTGCATATATGCTGGATTCCGTTCCTTACCAGATACGTTTTTTCTTGGCCGGGCAAATATATTTCCTCTTGTAAATGTAAAAACTCTGCCTCCTTGTATAGAGTTTTGCTTGAAACCACCCAAGAACAGCTCACATAAATAGTGTGCAAGTAAGCACAATGGGCTCAACATCCTATAAGCAAAACTCTTTACTCTGCTAAGCTGAAGTTTTTCAGTTTTTGGCAGAAAGATCATTTTAGAACTCCAATAAATGTACATTCAAGTCATAAGGCTTTTCTCAGCTAAAGATTTACATGGGCCTCCTTTGTATCAGCCACAAAAGTATTTTAAGAGTTTGGAAATTCTAGAAGCTTTCCTCCTGCCTTACTCAGCCACTCAAGCTTGATCCTCATTAAATCCCCTGACATGTAATATATTCCAGTGTACAAGAAGCCCTTCATTACTTCTCCATGCTTAGAAGGTAATAAACCCATTTCAAAGGATGGAAGTAGGAACTATTGCAGGTGTTTCCTTACCCCTCCATGTTGAGCCAGGAAGGCCGTGCTAACGCAGTTTGAACGAGTCAACGGTACGCTCCAGTAATGACTTGAGAAAAAGCACTTTTAGATTCCACTTAGGAGGGTTTCTGCTCTTGCAGGAGGTTTAGGAAGGAATTTATCTGAAATGCAGGACGGGCGCTGGAAATACTAATTCTGTTTCTAACTCAGTTACCACCTTCTGTCACCGTGGACTTAGCAGGTGACTGCACATCTGCCGAGCTGGGCTAACTGCCACGGGTGCACTCTGAAGTCTGCAACTGAGCCTACAGGTTCTTGCACAGCCTTTGCTTCTCCACTTGTGAAATGGAGATAATGAATTTAAATAGCACATTGTCAGGCTCATTTTATTTAACAAATGCAGACCTCTGAGATCTCAGGTGAAAGCCATGCCCCAAAAGCTATTTTCCTACCATAATTTAAACAGGAACTATTTTTATTTTCCAAGATTCAGAACAGATGTATATGAGACTCAGCTCAGCACTGGGAATATTTCTGAAATATATTTACAGAACGCGCGTGCAGAAGTACAAATTTCTCTGACACCTTAAACTTCACTATTTTTTAATGTATTTTACAACGAAGCATCAGTATTTTGACTCAGAAAAGTGGCCACGTTTGTGAGCATGTGTACTGCAATATTGGTAGAACTAACATCTTTCCAGTAAGACATCCAGGTTGCTTTAAAATGGGACTAGATTCTTGGTTAACTATACACTCCTGGACAAAGTAAACATGCACGGAAGGGAGTCCTCATGGATTCCTGTTCTCTGGTTGTGGCCCTTTCTTACCTGTATAATTAGGAGGGCAGAGACAGACATAGTTGTTGATCCCATCCACACATGTAGAGTTATTCTCACAGTCATTATCCTCGCAGTCATCTGGGTTTATTTCACACCTCTCCCCCTCATACCCAAGGACACAAGAACAGCTATGGAGAAAGAAAAAAAAATAATAAAAGTTAGCATGGATCTGAAGGGGCAGGAGGTTTGAGGTATAAAACTGAATTAAAACATATAAAAGTGAGTCGCTGGAGCCAAATTCACTGCTGTTGTGAAGTACGGAGCGCTTTAACCCCATGTCTTTGGTGAAGGATGCAGTCTGACGGTTCATGGGGTCATGTAATTATTTACATGAGACATGAACGCATCAGCAGGAGAGAGCTTCTGTCGTGCTTCCCTTTGCTTTCTTTGTTGATAACCCTAGCCCTGAATTGAAGCAAGCATCTCCAGGGCAGGAGAGTAAACACGCATCACAATATTCAAATCCTTGGCTTCTCTGTCAATGATTTTGTGAGTAAGTGGATACTTGCCTACTGAGGACTGCACAATCATAGGGCGACTTGGCAGCTTTTAGATAGCTCACTCTCTTTAAAGAACAACGGCTTGAATTGAGTTTACAGACATGAACATTTTCTTTTCATTACCACTTTGTCACTTGTCCAAACAAGAAATGTTTGGGAACGATTGCTTTTACAAGTGAAGTAAGGTTTTAGTACTTCTACAGCTCCTCCAACATCTATGTGTAGAAGAGCTGATGACGTCTAGATAATTCAACTAAAACACAAACAAACAATGAGAGAGCTAGGAATGGTTCTGTGAGGACGTGGACACTACTCAAAAATAATTGCACTAAATATTTTATCTCACAAGACTCTGATGTGTGGTCCCTAGAGGGAGTGTAAGGAACTAAGTGGTTGAAGAATGACTTTAATTTTTTTTCAATCTCAGTTTCCTCTCTAGATCTAGAAGTTATGGTTGCTAAGAGAACCTTTATGTTTTAAACTATCTGTAAGTGATGAAGAGGTGGAGGCCAGTTTCCTAAAAGAGAGTCTAAAAACACGTGTTAAGTGCTCCAGTCCTTTCAGTGGCTTCTAAGAAGCCAGCAATGACGTTTGAAGCGTATTGCTGTTCACTAGTCACAGAAAGCATGTGTGCGGAAGGGAAGTTGTCTTGTTTCGAGTTCCCGTCCAAACTACACATCCACTCAGCTCTTCATTTCCTTTCCCATGCAAGTTCTGGTGGCAGAAAAGGAACCGAACAAATGTAAAGCACTACTGATTGATGATGACGAAAACCAGAAAGCACCAGAGCAATCACACTAATTGCCATCCACTGCTCTCTGAAACCAGGAGAACTTCCAACGCAGAAATAGCTGCAGGGTACTTTTCTCAGCTCAGACGGACAAAGTGGACATGGGGTGGTTATCCTGCTTTATGTAGGTGACATGGGGTTGAGGTGGGGAATGCCCTGGAGAAATAGGAGATCTTCAGAATCTGTGCAGAAAACTGCAGCACTTTTGGGCTGGTTGCTCGCAGCATGACATTTGCTTCTCTTCCTCCTGTGTGCCACCGACTGAGCAGAGCGCAGGGACTCCCAAGGGAGGGAGCTCTGCATCCACCTTCGGTAGGTCCTAGGTTGGACCCTCAGGATAAGGTTAGATTCTTCATGACATGTGCAACCTCAGAAACTAAGGGAATAACAAAGAGGAAGAAAAAAGGGCCGGGAATGTGTCTTGAGCCACCACAACAGTAAGATCTTCTAGATGGGTACAGAGCAGGCATATAGGTCACATGCTAACAGTCATCTTCATTCAGCTCTGCAGGGACCATTCACAGGTCATGAGAGCTGGAAAACCTTCACCATGAATAACCAAAACCAAACTGCTCAAATAAATCCAATTTAGGACACAATAAATCAATAAGAAATATTTTCTTTTCCTGTCTGAAGCTCATTATTGCTAATAAAATATGTCCTCTTGCTGACCCTGCAATGATCCAGAGGATCACAGGAGGCAGATAAGAAAGAAGAGCTGGCACACCATCTTTCGTGGCAATGCAAGTGTCGGGGAGAGGGTTAAAGACATCTAATTAAATACAGTGGCACATTCATCATGTCTCCCTTTTCGATTACAAAACCCCATTTTCAGCGGTTTATAACTCAGCCATAAAAATATGCTCCAGGCTGCAACTTGGCATCCAAGGTCTCAGTTTGGGAGCACAAATTTTTCTCTCCATTTAAAGAAAAGCAACAAGAGTGGCTTTGTGCTGGTTATTTTTATGTGAATATAGCACCATTTTCCTTCCACAAAAGGATTGGGACAGCTTGGATGTATGCAATTAAAAATGACATTATTAAATACTATCACAGTAATGGTTCAACTCAGTAGAGTTACCATTAGTAACAATACATACAGGATTGTTAACATACAATTGCTCAGTATTAGGACACATTCCATACTGAAGGAAATGTCAGCATAATTGATGACATTTGGCTACTGGTCCCTATGTATTATAGGGAGCCTTTACATTATTGCTTACGTACGATTCCTTATTTTGATTTGCATTCAAATGTGCGAAATACGAGGACTGAAATTAAAAGATAAAACATACAATTTGGGACCCCGATTGAACCGTATGTTGAAAGAGTTGCAGTTTGGGACTGTTTGTATGTATTTTCCCAGAAAAAGCTTAGAAGAAAAATGAAGTTTGCAGAGTGACTGGAAGGCCATCAAACTTGGGTTCCAGCTGACCGAGAGAGAAAATTAATTCCAGAGACAATGATGAAAACTTTGTACTGACTAAATAGTGAAGCAGTGAGAGACAGCATTACATTTGGACCTCAGAAACAATGGAGCCATGCAGGAAAGAACTATTTTCTAAGACACTGTGATCGCATAAAGGTCCAAATTCCCTATTCCTCCAGTTCACGGATTTTCTGTTAGTGTTGTGTTTTCCTAAAAATAAAGAACTAAGTAAAACCCCATTATCCTCATGAGGGCACAAGGGAACACAGAACTTAATGACAACATTTTGGGGGTAAACTTTTGGAGCTGAAGTATACTGACAATTTTGTGAGTTTACTATATTCAAAATTATTTTTTTCATAAACTCTAATGAAACAGTTTAGCATCTGTTTATTAAAATAGGCATGCATACAGTGTATCACGTTTCAAAAAATCAACTTTTAAATAGAGATAGTAAATTCTTTCAGGAACATTACAGTTTCTTGGTAAAGGAGCTTTTTACATCTACATCCCAATGGAGTAGCCTGTAAGTCTGGAAGTGCAACGTTTTTCCTTGAACTAGGCAGAATTAACACTAGGGAGTTAATCAGTTCCAGGATTTTACATTTATGAGGGAACTTAAAGTTTGTGGAAAATGCTAAAGAAAACGCTCTGGAAATGGAGGGGGTTTTATATGGAGAAAAGTTAAAATAATCCAGAGACTTTGTTTCCCAACGCTGTAGGTTATCAAAGATCAGCTGGCTGCCTGTGGCTAACTGAAGCAGAGCTGAGAACTCTGCCTCCTTTCTCAAAGTCTCACTTACAGGCATGCCAAATGACCAGGACACGTCTGATTGACCATCTTGTATTATCAGTCTCAATAAGCACTTTTTCTGGCAACCTTTTGTCAAAGAAGACATAGATTAGATTAGATTAGATTAGATTAGATTAGATTAGATTAGATTAGAGTGAGCAATTCAAAGGGAGGAAGAACTTCATGTTTCTAATCTCCTGAGCCACAGGATGTCACTTAACTATTCTTTAATACAGAAGAAGTCCCTGCCTGAAAAAAGAGAATGTGAAAATTACTCAGAATTGAAAAAGTGCAAGGATAAAAGATGCCAAGAAGGACTGAAGAACTCCAGCTGAACCTTTGCCCTTCGGCTGCCCCACCAGGACCTGCTATGACAACAAATCTGAGCAGCTCAGTCGCCTGCTGCTGCGAGCCCTTGTGGGCACCAGGCACAGCGGGCGAGTCAGGCTGGAATCGCAGTCAGAACTATGAATTTCCTACCCTTGCCTGAGGAACATCACCACCTTAGCATTATTTAAAAGGTAATTTTCTTGTCCAAGGCTACAGAAACTTGAGAGTTAAACTGCTTGGCATTTCATAGGGAGAGAGCTTTGGCTTAAGTTTCCTTTCTGCAAGAGTAAAGATTTGACAAGTTTGGCAGCAGAGCTTGTGTATGAATGTATTTCCCCAGGGAAGAGAATATACAGAAGATATAATTTCTTTTACAGGCCACACAACAGAAAAATCCAAGGAGGCCTCTCATGAAAATCTTTCTGACATTCACTTCCTCGCAGCATATAATCGAAGGCAATGTTTTCCCATCTTGATGAACATAATTTATATGCACGTAACTCTGACTGCTGCCATCCACTGGAGGGGAGATTTCCCACCAAAAAAACCCAAACCAACCAAATTCAATTTCAAAATATTTCTTTGTCACTGACTGTTTCTCTAAGACACGCTAAAGCCCCACGCTCCTGTTCTCCAGAGCAGCTGGGGCTATGGACTGACTGAATTAAAAACACGGAGAGAAAACAGAGCAACGCATAAGCTGAACATTTAATTTTATGAAGCAAGATTTTGTCGAGATATGGTCTTATGTGCCTTTTATTAGACCAACTGAAACCATATAAATAACTATAAAAGCAGAAATCTTCCCTAAAAAGCCTCAAATGTTGTTAAGCAACAAAACCACCCCTGCAGTTTTGTAAAGTATCTCAAAAACTACATTCATTTGGAACTGAAGCAAAGCCTCTGAAATTGGAAAATTCTCCATGAGAAAAATTTAGAAGCAGCTTTCATTTCAGGTCATTCAAAACTTTTTACTTTCTACCACCGAAGAGAACTAAAATGCTAAAGGAAAACACGATCCAAAATATAAGCTGAAGCCTTTCATTCCAGTATTATGGATATTATAAAATGTTTTACTAGCACATTTTTAATATCAGCTAGATTTTTGAAAAATGAGTACCGAGCGACAGAAAACAGATATTCTAATATGGTACAATTTTGCTTCGGCACAAGCTAGAAAAAGCTACCTAAACAGTATTACATGAGGGTGACCAGAAGGGAACCCGAACTGAAGACCAGCGGACCTTTATTTCTCTCAAGCAGAATCTGAACCTGAACTTTTACTCCAGAAATTGCTAGGCCTGCTAAAATCTGAATTCAGAAGAGGTATATCAGATCACAAGTGCAGAGTAGTGGTTTCACCAAAATCGAGGGGGTCCTCTCAAGCAGCATGACCATTTGCACGTGCTATGATCTGCAGAGCCTCCTCGTCCTCTCCCACCACCGTGCACCAGTATGACCGTCCAAATGCATCTGTACCCAGGAGATGCGCTCTTCTGCTTTGCTCAGGGCCTCGTCACAGGTGCTCAGGCTGAGCTCTAAACTGCCCCTCATGGAGATGTGGCCATGTTGGAAAGCCTCAGGTTGTTATTTGTAACAGAGCCTGACAGTGTCCCTTCCTCCCTGTCCACCTGCACTTTTCCATTGTAGTATCATCAGTGTCCTTCTGTGTCCAGCATGTGCTGGATCTGTTTCTGTAAGGGGAGGATTCTGGAGGGTGGGCAGGCACAGAGACAGAGAGCAGCTTTGGGGCATTTCTTCCGTTTTCTGCTTCCCCACGGGGCAAAATGGAAGCTCTTCTGTGCCTCATTTCCACAGGAGGGATTTGGGGAGTCAAAAAGAAGCCACAATGCTCTGCTGGAAATATAAAAGGCATCCTACCATTTGTAGGGGAACAGGAGGGGGGTGCTAACCCCCCCCTGCACCTAAAGTCCTGTCAGTCACCCAAACTTTTACCTAGCCCTTTCTATTTTGAAAAAATCCTATTTTCTGACATAAGATATGGGTTTGCTGACTTGGTTAACAAACAGTTAACTTTAGTTGGAACCGTCTTAATCACAGCTGAAACTAAACTGGAATCAAACTGAAAAAATGTACTGGTTTGACTCCCTGCTTACACCGTTTATAAACCTTGCAATTCTGTGTCTCCCTCCAGCTGTCACTGATAGGAAGCTATATATAGGAGAAGACAAAGCAGCAGCCTCGGTAACGTATAAAAGCTTTTAGAAGTGAGGCTTTCATATATGCAATTGAAACAACAGTATGGCGTACTTTTGTACGTATTTTGTGCAAGAAATAGCATAAATACCGAGGACCAAATCTACGAAAATTTCAGCAACTCTTTTCTAAAAAAAATTTGTATCAACTTTAATGACAACTAGTGGCCAAAGCCTCAAACTTGTATTTTCTTAGCTGTAAAGTAGCAGCACAAATCTCTCAGTTACCTCATGAAAATTTCTGGACTCCTCTTGGAGTATCCCCACCTATGCTACGTCTTTCTTACATGGGAAAACTGAAATCCGTAACGTCCAACTGTAAAGGTTATTCTCTTGCAGGCACAATGCCCAAGATGTGGAAATCTCTCCATGTTTTTTGTTTCTTTAAAGCCTGTTTGTCTACAAGATTCTTCAGTATGAAAACATTTTGCATCTGGTTGTCAAGCAACAGATGCTTACTTTACAAATACAAAAAAGGGTATATGTGAGTTTGAAATGCCCCCAAGGAAAATCAGCACGCAGATAACACAATGCAGGTCAGGGAGACCGCTCAAAACAGCTCTTAAGAGTATATTCCATTATGAGAAAATAAGGAGGCCTGTTTCAGAGGAAACACTATGTCACCAATGAAACCAGATTAATTTTTTTGTATAGCAAATAGAAATGTCACATGCAGCAGCTTTTATAAAGTAGTTATTATAGTTCATTATTGCAAAGTAGAAACACATTTAATTTTATCATCTTATTTTAAATGAACTTTGTGTTACTACCTGAATCCATCTTTATTTGCCTCGGTGAGGTGGCAGGTCCCTCCATTCTGACAGGGATTTTGAATGCAAGAATTAATGGGCACACTGCAGTCTCGACCCTATTTGGGAAAATTCAAAAGAAACAAGGTTAGTAAGACTCATGTCATCTGAATCAATGTCTCTTGCTCCCTCACCCTACACATGGCACCATTTACAGGAGGTCTGTGGTCTTCAGACCCGTCACATCACCTGATGTTCTTTATTGATGGACAGATATATTCAGCACTCAAGGGAGAGTTTGGGTGGGCCAACTGTTCTGACCAATGGGACTGGTGAGTATCTTGGTATCATTTCAGTTTCAAGATTTTAGTTTAACTCTTTCATTTGACTATTTTAAGGAAACAGCTGGTTTCATCATTACCCTAACACACTTTAATCTCTAATGTTAGTTACAATGAAAAGAATTAATCATGACCAAAGGTAATCAGAAGGCCACACACAGTCAGCACAAGACCACACAGAGCCAGCACTCATTCAAGCGCATTTACCAAGTGCTCAGTTAAATGCTGCAACAGTACACCATGCTCATTACCACGCATTGTCAAAACCTAAAGGGGAAAATTCATTTTTATCATGGGAGCCGAGTTTGAATTTCTCTGCAGAACACACTGAAACCTGTTTTAGATATCATTGTTGAATCAGTTCCCTTCTTAAAGATTGCCCTAAAATATACATCAGTTCCAACTGAACTTCACTAGCTTGAACAACCTCCACTGTTACCAACTGACTTTTTATTGGCTCTTCAAGGCATAGACATATTTCTCTGATCATTATATTCTGCTGATTAGGACAAGCTATTTGTAAAATTGGCAAATACATGAAAGAGTTTGGTCTTGCTTTTCAGTTACTCACACAGTAGGGTAGAATAAAGACACCTGAAAGCCTCAAAACTCAAGGGATCTGTGCAATCACAAAGAAGTTCAAGAGATCTCTCTACTCTTCCTACTGAAGATCCTGTTAGCAGTGGCCCTTTGCCAGCTGATCTACCAGAAAGCTGATACATGACTGCAATCAAGATGAGAAAAATACCTCAGGAGATACATTAATTCGGTCAAAGTTGCTGGGTGTTTTTGCCTTGGTTTAAAAACGATTATTTACCTTGTACTTTAGAGGAATAACAATGGTGTATCTATTTGTAAGTCTCTAAACAAAGAGGACAGATGCCAGCCGTGACATCAGTTCGTAACAGCTGTAACTTTTGTGTATCGGTATTGAACACCAGCCTGCCGCTCCCAGCTTTCCTTGCTGAACAACACTCATCAGCAGCCATTCCTTTCTCTACCGAATTTGCCACAGCTTCCGACCCTTTTCACACTTTACATACCTAGTGTGATGTACTGGGGCAGGGGACACTCAGATAGTTTCTATAGTCTCATTCGTTTATGACAGCTGTGCTGTCAAAATGAAGCATCTTGGTGCTTCAGTCATATACTGCACATGAGAGCATCAACTGTTAGTTGTTTTTCCACCTCGCTTTGAGACTTTGCTGTTCTCACTTAGGATATACTATTACATTAGAATTAAGAATGGACTTGGAGAAACCTAACGCTGTACTTGGCAGATACCTGACAATGATTTGCTTGCCTCTGGATGAATACAGCGGGGTTAGAAAAGGCATAGAAAAGGACTACCAAAATGTTCAAGGAGATGGAGCAACTACTTCAGAAGAAGATACTATAAAGACTAGGACTCTCTAGTCTGGAGAAAAGAAAACTGATGGGGGTGATATGACTGAGGTTTACAAAATCATGGAGGTGACGAATGCAGAATTTGTCACACACTAAATCCCTCAGCAGTAGAAGGACACTTACTGATGTTAGAAGATGAGCTTAATATAGATAAAAGAAAATACTTCTTCCAAAGTATGAGCTTCTGGGATGCTTTTGCCACGGGTGGTTGTGAAATCAGATAGTATAAAAGCCATTAGACAAATTCACATACAATAGATCCAAACCAGACATGAATAGCAATAGGCAGACATCAACATCCCTAGTTGGATGATGGTGGGCGCTGGGAGAACTGGAGAGGAGTGGTGGCCAGGCTTGGGTACTCTGATTTGCTGCTGCCCCCATGAGAGACAGAACGCTGCAGTAAATGCACTACAGACCCATGATGGCACTTCCCACGTTCTTAGGTCAAAGTTGTTTGAAAGGCTTATTTGGCTCTCAACAAGGAAAACGTTCCCGATCTTTTTTTTCAAAAGAACCTAGCTGCTTCCTGAACCAAGGCGGTGTGCATTGTAAGGGAACAGATCTCTCAGGAAAACCGCACCAGGATGGGTTTGATCAGTTTGTCTGTGGCTGCATATCTCTTTGGGAAATCTCGCTCTTGAGGGAAGAACAAATAGGCTGGTGACATCTTTCTAACCCTTGTTCATCGTTGCCCACCTCTCTCTCTTACATCCTACACCGATCAGAAGTTCATGCTCAGCTCGACTGGTGTGCCCATTTCCAGCAACGTGCCCAGCCTGGAGGTGACAAGCCAGCAGGACAAGGACTGTGCTGGTTCTGTGACAGCTCAAGCTCCATTCATGCTTTAAGTACTGTATAAATAATAGTAGCAATCTTAGTTTGTCTCTGGAGTGCTTACCTTGAAATTGGTGCAGCCTCAATTAAGCCTAATCAAGGCATTAAAAAACCAAAACCAGCTTCTAAGTGTGAACTTTTCTACAGAGTTCATTTGATCTGGTCTGTCCACTGATGATCTCATTCACATATCATACAGCTCAGTCCTCCAAATACTACTGAAATCTTCAGTATTTTGTCAGGTAGGACATACTGCCATCGTACTGTGACAAGACCTGAGACACACAGTAATTATGCTCTTGTCCAACACCATAGAGGAGCTTTGTTACAGAAATGAGAGACAAAGTTGTAATTCTGAGGCTCTGTCCCCAGCATGCCCCAGAGAGAGGAGAAGCAGCTTTGCATTTTAAAATTTGTGCAAATACAAGGAAACAGCGACATCCTTTTCCTTGGTTGAATCAGAAGAGAAACATTTCCAAAGAACAACAGAAGACCTGGCCACCCCCGCCTCGCTGTGAGTTCATTCCCCCAACACAGCAGTGCCGGCAGCATGCGAAGACCTCACCCAAGACCTGGCAGAGAGGGTTTCTGCTTCATCCACGCTGCACTTGCCAAACAGCCTGTCCTTCTCCATTTGAAATCCTGAGCCCCCAAATGTCTCGGGGAAGAATTGGGAAAGCGCCGAGGGAAGCTCATGCAGGTTTTATTTTGGCACCATGTGGTCCGCAGCACTTCACGGATGCGAGCCATGCAGCATTAACGCTAATCCGCTGCCACCCTTCTGCAATATTGCCTGTGCTTTGTCCATCTGTGTTGTGAATCCTGTGTGGTTACCGCTTTATCCTAGTGAAGCTGGAAGATGCCATTTTTTATATTTCTAAGATCACAAATACTTTTCCTGTGTCCCTGAAGAATTGACTTCTATAGATACTTCACTAACATCAGTTACCTCTGTTTCATATGAGCTCTTTGTACCGGTACCACTAAAATACTAAACCCTTTGCAGCTAAGCATAGCAAGAAGCAAAGCAGAAACCACAGTATCTGTTTTTCTGAAGGTTTTTGTCACAGTTGAACACCGTGTAAAACAGTCCCATCACTTCTATCGTAATTACTCAGATTATTTTGAACGTTCTTGTAAAAATTTAATAAAGATAAATGTTAAAATGAGAGCAACGCATTTTCAGTCTCTCTCATCGGCACATGAAATTTCTCATGACTTCGACTCAGCTCTCATTTCTGTACGGAACATGGCTGAATTATTGGCTTCTTGGGCCTCAGGCACCATGGAAACCGATCAGTATGTGCTGCTGAATCAGACTTAATTACAACACTAAGTTGCTATGTGGCTTTAGGAAAATTAGAGTCTCTCTGACTCAGTTTACTCATTGTAATAAATGGGCAAACAGCATTTAATCTTTCTCTGAGGATTATCTGCTAAGTTGACTTTATCAATAGCACATTGAGAGCCCACAAAACAAGGACCATTTCTCTAACACAGAAGACTATGAAAAACAAAGAATTCCGAAAGGAGAGAAGCTGCAGAAAATATTGGTACTAATAAATCTACAGCAAAGCAAGGCCATTTTATTTCTGTATAAGACTGTCACTACCCAGAGGAGCCTAAAGACATTCTAGAAACATCTTTCAAATGAATAATGCAATTCTCTAGTCTCGATTTACAGTAAGACTGTTCTTACTGGAAAAATGGAATTTCTGTCAAGCATCACTAAAATTAATTTATCTGTGAGCTGGGAAAAACTCTTTGAATTACATTCCCTGGAAATAACTATTGTTACAAAGGAGAATATTGTATATTTGTGTCAAGACTAAAGAGCCTTTTAATGAAGTCTGAATCAGAAAGGGAGGTGCAAATTTTGTTTCAAGGACAGGGAAGAAGCTATGACTGTCTCAGCAATTCACAGAAAGAGGATGAAGGTCCCTCTGTGTGCAATATTTTAGTTCTAGAGCTTTTTTAAGCTGCAATAAATTGTCTAGTCTGATAGGAAAGCATCAGATCCAAAACACTTTTATATAATTTCTCTCATTTTCTGTAGGACAGGAAAGGATTAGGTGTTGAAACATAAAATTTCTGCAACTAATCAGAAGACATGTATGTTCAGAGTCCAGCTGCCTTTTTAAATCTGAAGTACCTCAGCTGGTCCAGATTTTATCTGGGCTGCTCCAGCTCCATATTTCACTGAATGAGAACAGAAACTATCCACCATACTTAGAAAGTGTCAATTCTTCATTTCATACTCAACAGTAATTAACCGTACTGGGCATTAGTGTATATACAAGCTGTTCCTCAGTACTGCTGTGCCGAATTCTAGCCTTTGCAAGTATCCAATACTGGAAAACATTACATCATGATCAGTAAAACACCCAAGAACAAGTAGCAAAAACTAATAAGTAC